CTCTCTCTCTCTCTCTCTCTCTCTCTCTCTCTCTCTCTCTCTCTCTCAGTGAGTGTTTGTAATTTTTTTTTTCGCTCGTATTTCCGCAAATTCTCAAGCAATTGTGTGTGCTGTACAGCACAAGCACACTGACTGGCGGTTTGCGATACGGAATTTGATCGACTAACGCAAAAGCCTCGATTTATTAGTTCCACTTGGCAATAAATTATTTATCCAATTTCGCGTTTATCCGGCGATGAATGCAGTTTGCCCCCTTCGCACAAACAGATCTCTCACATAATAATTGTAATTAAACGTTCGTTATGCGCATGTGCAATGGCTGCAAATGCAACAGAGAAAAAAAAACAAATCAAAGAAATTATTTGCAACTTCATATTCGAATTCATCGCATGGTTGAGACATGAAATGAGCAATCATTTGCAAGAGCAAAAAAAAATGGGAAGCCAACTGAAGGGGAGAAGATGGATGGAAATTGCAAGAGAGTATTAATAAGAACATTTGCACAGGTTAAATTTTGCCACGGAACTTCCGTGTGATTATGCATCAAACGCTGAGCGCGCGAATGCTGAACTCAAATTGCTTGTTGAATATGCGCGATAATTACTTTATTTAAAGCAGTGTGGAAACAAGTAGCAACAACAAAATCCATCAGCAACAGTTACGCAAAAAATGTAATCGATTTGGTTGTGGTGGCGTAACGCTATTTTCTGAGAATATAATGTTGTCGATTGGAATGTTTTCAATTCGAAACCAATTCATTGATGCAGCCCGAACTGAAGGGAGATGCACTCAAGGCTTCAATCAAAATGCGCGTCATTGACATTGTTAAATTGGAAATACGCTTCAGTCAATGTGATTCCAATGTGCTGCAATAATGTTGACCGCACTCGAAATCAAAATCATCGCATGAGCACATTAAAACAGCTCGGAGTCGTCCGAAGTCAGCAGCACCTTTGTAATTTTGCTTTTATTACAGCTATCATTACATTTTTCGTACAACTTAGTTTTGTGTTTCTCTTTTTTGTTTTATTTACATAACTCTTACAATGTATCGTTTGTTTAACGATTATTGTGCCCAAAACTGAGCACATATTTTCAGTTGTTAACACACAACGTTCAACCGAAGCTGAATTGTGGCTTGCGTGAACAGAAGAAAATGTTCTTGTTTGTTTACGAAATATATAGATCGTTGGTTCGGCATGTGTGTTTGCATGAAGATATGCGCAATGCACTGGAGATTATTATGACGGCCGATGGATTGGAGACAAGAAAAAGAAAAGTGAAAGAACAATATGCGGCTGACAAGAAATAATAAGAGAGCCAAAACTAATTATTCATATTCAAATATACACGCTTGAAACATGCAAAGAACAGGAAAAAAAAGATTAAGCAACATATCGAAGGCGCGCGAGTTCGCACTCGCGACAAAACGACAAAAGAGTTACAAAAATTGCGCTTTGTTCCATCTGGAGAAAGAAAACGGTGACAATTTAAATGAGTTGTACGTGTGCGCTGATCTCGCGAGATAATTCTTTACATTTGAACTATTGTGCGATGGGTTTCTTTTTGTTTTTATTTCATTGGGTCTCTTGCTCGGTACATACACTCAGACGGCGCATTGCATAAAAACACACGGACTACTACTATTTGTACACACACATTCGGTGCAAATGCTAAATAATACGAGAGAGAGATAGAAAAACACGGTTCTTAGTTTGTTGTTGCTGTTCTACTGTCTGTTTTTTTTTGTCGATCTTCTTTTGTCGAAGAAAAATCATTGTACATTATTTTTTTTCCTTTTTTCTCCGCTACCATGCTGTCGATTACAAATTACCGAGTCGGTCACTTGTAATAAGTATGGCACACAGACACATTGTTGCATTGTACCCGAATGATGAATGACAAAAATAAAGTAAAAGCAACCGAAGAAAAACACACACACACGAAAACCGAGCAGAGTGAAAAACAATACGAGTAATAAGAACAAATGGATTATTTGTACTCGTGCCAAAACAACAAGCCATCGCGCGCTGTACCATTTGTGTGCGATATTTATTAAGAAAAGCATTTCGGAGCAAAACAAATACCAAAGAACAACAACACCAACAAAGAAACTCGCACACACAATTTGGATGTGCTATAAAAATATGACGATTTGCACACCAAAACGAGTGGAAATGAAGCCGAAAAAAAGAGACAACAACGGAAAAAAAATGGCAAAACAAATGCAGAACAAAAATGAATACTGAGAGAGAGAGAGAGAGAGAGAGAGAGAGAGAGAGAGAGAGA